TCTCTCCCTCTCTCTCTCTCTCTCTCTCTCTCTCTCTCTCTCTCTCTCCCTCTCTCTCTTCTCTTCTCTCTCCTCCCTCTCTCTCTCTCCTCTCTCTCTCTCTCTCTCTCTCTCTCTCTCTCTCTCTCTCTCTCTCTCTCTCTCTCTCTCCCTCTCTCCTCTCCTCTCTCCTCTCCCTCTCCCTCTCCCTCTCCCTCTCCCTTCTCCCTCTCCCTCTCCCTCTCTCTCCCTCTCTCTCTCTCTCCTCTTTCACTGAGCTATTGCCGCCGGGGATCTCTCATCCGGGGAACAGGATCGAACTCGACTTGAGTGCGATCGGAAACCACCTTTTGAGCGCCTGGATTCTGTTGACCTTATTTGGCAAAGATTCAGGGGTTTATACTCCGGAATGAGGAGGTGAAGGCCTAATAGAAGTGACGTCATAGTCAATTCTTGGAATTAGGAACAGGAAGAACAGAGAAAAAAAGTAATAAATACAGAGAGTGATATACTCCATGAAATACAAAATAAAAGAAATTGACTAGTAAGGTAATAGAACAAAAGCTGAAGTAAGGACAAAAAAAATTCTATTAACAATCAAGAGCAAGATTATAGTTGGTGCATGCTTATATATATCATATATGCTTACCAGTATAATTGTGTGTGAGTGGTGAGTTGGAGTGATTGTGGTGGTGTGGTGTGTTGTGTGTGTGGTGAAGTGAGTGAATGAGTGGAGTGTATTGTGGTTAGGCCAAAGTGAAACAGTAGGTTGTGTGTGTGTGTGTGTGAGTGTGAGTGAGGAGTGAGTGAGTGAATGAAGTGAGTGATTGTGTGTGTGTGTTGGAGGAGTGAGTGAGTGGATTGTGGTTTGTAATTGTGGTTGTGTGTGAGTGAGTGAGTGAATGAGGTGAGTGATTGTAGTGTGTGGTTGTGAGTGAGTGAGTTGATGATCTGTGTGTGTGTAGTGGTTGTGTGTGTGTGTGAGTGAGTGAGTGAGTGAGTGAATAAGTGAGGGAGTGATTGTGTGTGTGTGTTATATGTTGTGGTGTGTTGTGTGTGTGTGTGAGTGAGTGAGTGAGTGAGTGTGTGTGTGAGTGAGTGAGCGTGTGTGTTGGTGTCGTGTGGTGCGTGCATTGGTGGTGTGTGCGTGAGTCTTTCCTTTCGAATCTCACTACTCTGTACTAAAACATTGTAAGTGCAATTTTTGGTGCGTGTTTGTGTGGGGTGGGCTGTTGTTGTCTGTATCTGTGTGGTCTGTGTGTAGTGCGTGTTGTGGTAACTCTGTGTGTCTGTATACTGGGTTATACAGATTTCTGTTTAGTCTTTGTGTGTTGCGTGCGTAGATGGTTACTCTGTGTGTCTGTATCCATCTGTATATTCTGATTTATCTGTGTATCTGTATATCATGATTTATCTGTTGTATTGTCTGTGTGTGCGTGTGTGTATCTTGTGTGGTGTGTGTGAATCTGTATAGCTCGGTTTAATCTGTGTATCTGTGTCTGTGCGTGTGTGTAATCCTGTGGTGCTCTGTGACTGTATATCTGTTTTCGATCTGTATATTCCTGTGTGGTTGCCGTGTGTGTAATCTGGTTGTGTCTGTATCTGGTATCAGTCAGGTTTATCTGTGTATCTGTGTGTGCGTGTGTGTATCTGTGTGTCTGTATTGTAATCTTTTTTATGCTGTGTATCTGTGTGCTGTGTGTGCGTGTCTGTGTATGCTGTGTGTTCTGTATCTGTACGTATCTGCTGTTATCTTCTGTGTGCGTATGTGTCCGTGCGTGTATGTGTGTGTGTCTCCGTCTGTGTGCGCATGAAAGTGTATACGAGATTCTTCGAGAATCATAGCATGTTATCGATAATTCACAAGGCTACCTCTGACTTAGATACACTGACGTAAACAAGCAGTAATGACAGAGACCAGTGTACCGTCACGCACCGCTTGTGGTATCCGAACTTATAAGGAAAGAAAGAAAAATAAAATGGAAAAAAATAGCGTCCCTTTTTATGCGAATATAAGGGTGGATATCAGTGAACTGTCACGCCTCTGCAGGTTTTCATTACGTAAAATGTTTTTGCGGTCTGTCGTTCTGTCTTCTTTCTTTCTTTCTCTCTTTCTCTCTCTTTTTTCTTTCTTTCTTCTTCTCTCTCTCTCTCTCTTTCTCTTTCTCTCTCTTCTCTCTTCTCTTTCTCTTCTCTTTCTTCTCTTTTCTATCTCTTTCTCTCTTCTCTTTTCTTTCTCTTCTCTCTCTCTCTCTCTCTCTCTCTCTCCTCTTTTTTCTCTCTTTCTTTCTCTTTGATTCTTTCTTTCTCTTTCTCTTTCTCTTTCTCTTCTCTCTCTTCTCTCCTCTCTCCTCTCTCTCTCTCTCTTCTCTCTGTCTCTCTTCTCTCTCTCCTTCTCGTCTCTCTCTCTCTCGCTCATTCTACTTCTCTCCTTCTCTCTCAGTCTCGTCTCTCTCCTCTCTCTCTCTCTTCTCTCTCTCTTCTCACTCTCTCTTCCGCTCATCCATTCTCTCTTATTTTTTCTCTCTCTCTACTATCCTTCTCTCTCCACTGTAGAATCTAAACCACGAAACTAAAATATTAAAAACGCAGAACATGATGAACACGATAAACATGATATTCTGGCATTTATAATTTTCTCTCTCTCTATCTCTTACCCTCTCCCTCACCACCTTTCTCCCCTTCTCTCTCACCCTTTCTCCCTCTCCCTCACCCTTTCACCCCTTCTCCTCACCTCATCTCCCCTTTCTCTGTCCCTTTTTATGTTCTGTCTTTAATTCTCCATCTTCCACTCCTTCCTTCCCTCACCATTTCCTCTTCCTCTCTCCCTCCCACTCCTTTCTCCCTTCTCCCTCAACCCTCACCCTCTCCTCACCCTTTCTTCTTCTCGCCTCACCCTCACCTCACCCTTCTCCCTCTCCTCACACCCTTTCCCCCTCCCTCTTTCTACTTCCTCTTTCTAACTACCTCTCCGCACCCTCTCTCTCCTCTCCCTTTCCCCCTCTCTGCTGTCCCTTTTTATCCTACCCACGGAATTCAAATTTGCATTCCTTGGCAACCCACAAGCGATACGATAACAGCTGTTCGTTTGTGCTGGGGAGTGCAAAAGCTTTTTATCTATATCTGTATCTATACGTTGAATGAGAATATTGAGAGCTTTCCTATTCGTTAAAGAGAGATCGTTCTTTCACTCGGAGGAATGTCTGAGAACGAAAATAAACGAGATTTTAAAAAAATCGTATTAATTATTCAAAAGTTCGTTGCGTAAGCTCGCCTCGGGATATCCTGAAAGGTTGCTAGATTATCTAGATCACTCAACTTATTTGTATTTTTTTTCCGTTTAATCAGCCGTTATGTAAATTTTCTTATCAGAGTTATTTACTTTTTTTTTAATTCGTTTCATTTTGAAATTCGTTCTCCCTCGTCCATTAACTTCTGGGTTTGTTTACCTTTCTTTATATAAATGGTCCCTCAAAAAAAAATTTGTTTCTATATTCACATTCTTACGCCTACCTATCCTCGAATACTTATTTACTGAAACGATAAATATCAATTACTACAAAAAATTTACTAAAAGAAATACTGATAACAAATACTCATAGAATGAATCAAAAGAGTAAAAGATTAAAATAACGAAGTCTAAAGGTTAAAAGAACGAACACTTGAGTTTTAAAAGAATGAGATTAAAAAAAACGAACATTAAAATGATAAATAAGGAACGAAGTACAAAGAGTGAACAAACGAACACCAATAATTAAAAAACGAATAAAGATTAAAAGAACAATCACCAAAGTCTAAAAGAACGAACACCGAAATCTAAAAGAACGAAAACAACCAAACACCAAAAAACACAGCAAATATTAAAAGGAAAATACACGGACGCCCAAATATGAAACGGAATACAGGAACAGCCAACCCAACTTTGCGGGCAATTTTAGTTTTTGCTTTGCCAAGAGTTTGTTTTCGCTAAACAGTTAATTTCACAGATAAAGGGCACAGAAGTTCAAATAATTAATGTTTATACACATACACACACACGCACGCACATAGTCTGTTATGACAATGGAAAAAAGACAGCCTGTTACCTATTTATTGTCTAAATAATTTAGACAAATAAATTCTTTAGTTGAGTAAAATAATAATGAAATTGAAAAATCTAAGCCTTTAACAAATTAAATATCTAAGCACAATATAGAATGCATAGATTTTCGAATGCGATTCAAGTTTAAATCGAGAACATTTCGCAAAAAAGGTTTGTGTTACGAAACTATTGTAGGTTTTCAAAAATTAATATTTTTTTTCTATCTCTGCCGAGAAATATTACTAAACGCAGTTAATACACTAAAAAAATATCTATCCAACCACCACTCTATCCACCTATCCACCCCTTCAAATTACCCCTCCACCCATCTAACAGATAGATAGATACCCATCCACTAACTCCATCCATCTCCAACCCTCCATCCACTATCCTCCAACCATCCCACCCATCCACCCATCCACCCACTCCACCTACCACCTCCAACCTTCCCTCCACCTACCCACCTATCCAACCCCTCCACCCACCCACCCACCTACCCATCCATCCACCCAAGCACAATAAAAATACCCATTCACACATACCTTGATATGAAAGAATTATATAAATGAATGAATCCATATATGATAAAATACCCACAAACATCCACTCACACCTTGATACGAACGAATTAAAAAACAATTAATCCACATATAATAAAATACTCCACTCACACCCCTTAATCCACATACCCTCAACATTCGAACAAATTAATTAAAAACCAATTAATCAATACAATGAAATACCCACAACATCCACTCACACACCCACCTCGAACGAACGAAAAACCAATCAATCCATTAATAAAACACCCAAACAAACTACAAACCAAAACAAGCTATAAAACACACGAACAAACACCATAAACAAAGGAATTCAACACCACAAAACACACAGAATAAGGCACTGACTCCGACCCCTCAGAACACCTGTTGGCACTTACCTCCTCTGGCTCTCATCAAGAACGAATCTATAGGTGGCACTACAGGTGTAATAGAGAGATGTGTAGAATAGCAGCTCGGGCCAGACTAGCTTGTAGATACTGCCTTTCCATCTGCAAAGATGTAGGAAATAAGATAT